TTTTGAACGTCACAACAGATGTCCGCAATTGCGGTATGCCGGGTCCCAGAAGGAATACCCTGAACAAAATATTTCGTGGCAGTCGTACTGGACGTTTCCAAGAATTTCAATTTAGTTCTTCAGATAGCTTCTGTTCTAGTTTGGTTTCGAGCTTGATTAGTGGTTATCTCACAACTGCTTAACACATTTCCCGCCTAAGATTCATGTTCCGGAAGTTTTACCTTGCTGAGCTGTCTGGACTCTGTTTGCAGTTATTACAAGATGCAGATACTTGCGATTTTTCGCTCTCTCCATCTCTTCTAAAATTCTCTGAAAAAAAGCTGCCAAATTAACGTTCTTTCAGGTAAAAAAAATGTCAGCAGCACCAGCTGCAACTCAAGCGCCATCGGGCAAAGAATCATTTTTCAAGGATAAGGACAAGCCCGAGAGTGTTCGTAATAGGTAGGTGCCTCCAAAATACTATTCTGTTTTCGATTATAGCTCTTATTGGCTTATTTACTGACAAAACTCGTACGCTCGATTATCCCCTATTAATTTTGCACGTTTACATCTTGCTAGGCGTGAAGAGCTCTTAAATTCTCTTCTTATACTAGTTATAAATCTAACTTTTTTAGCAACATCGTTGCGGCGAAGGCTGTAGCAGATGCTGTGCGAACATCGCTTGGCCCTCGTGGTATGGATAAGATGATCCAGTCCGGTAATGGAGATGTTACCATCACCAACGATGGAGCCACGATTCTGAATCAAATGAGCGTCGTGCATCCGACTGCCAAAATGGTTCGGCTAGCTTTCTTTTTCCTCAACATAGCACAATTTATCCTTTATGACTTTAGCTTGTTGAGCTATCGAAAGCTCAGGATATCGAAGCGGGTGATGGCACTACGACAGTCGTTGTAATAGCTGGAGCGTTGTTGGATGCTGCGCAGACACTCTTGCAGAAAGGTACCTTTTTTACGGTTTTTTTAGTTTCGTTGACGTCTTTTATGCTCAGTTTTAACCTAAGCGTAACATTTCCTAATAAATTATTGTTATAAATTATTAATTCTTTTCAGGTATTCACCCCACAACTATTTCGGACTCATTCCAAGCAGCTGCTTTGGAAGCTGAGAAGATTCTCGAGGAAATGAGTTCACCTGTTGATCTCTCAAATGACGAATTGCTTGTTAAGATGGCCACAACATCACTTAATTCTAAGGTTAAATACGTTACTCTCTTATTTTCACTGTTTTTCATAAGATTTGCAGGTGTTCTTTATTCT